GACATTGACGACTTCGACTTGTCGGGAATCGAAAAGAAGTATTGCAGACCGCCGGCCCTGTCCCCCAAAGGGCAGCGGGCCGCCTGCAAGGCCTCCCAGAGGTCGAACCCCCGCCTGGATGAGCCACCTGGCTCTCCCCCCGGGACCGCGGGCGACGACGCGGGGCCTCGCAGCCGCAGCGCTCCGGAGCGCGGGGAGGCCTCTCCAGAGGCTGAACAACGACCCTCGTCGCAGCAATCTCTGATCTGTCTTGAGGATTCAGCTCCCTGCAGCGGTAACAAGTCTGTGGGTGAGGGCCTTTGGGAGAACTTACCTGCTGACGTGATTTTGGATGATGGCGGGGAAGAGGCTCAGCCAGGTAACAATTTATTTTAAAGTACCAGTGAGCTAGAAGAAAACGTGTTCATGTTTGCACACAGAGGGCTTGATTTTTCAGAAATCAGAGGGAGCTGCATGCTCATATCCGAGAAGCAGTTGTGGGTACGTGGATTCCGTTCGGGTAACCGCAGCTTGTGGAAGTGCGGGCTTATAAATAGTGAAGCATCGTCTCTGTGGCAGATACCATGGTCGTATGGTAGTATTGGAGTTGCAAGACTTCCCATATGGCATTCCAGAAATGAAGAGCAATAACCTATAGGGATGTTATAGAAAGAAAAGCACTTTTAAAATCCATACAAGAGAGTCATAAAATCATCTTGTGCCTAAATGTAATGATGAGAAATATTAAACCAGAAAAAGAGATCTCTCTCAGTTTAAAGCAAAACAGAAAAACTCCAACCCTCAATTATGACCAAGAAGTTCGTGACCATCAGTCAGAGTGCTTCCTTGGCAGCTCTGGATTCCTCTTAGCTTCTCTATTTTATGTGCCTTACCTGTTATGTTTTGAAACTTTTCATCTTTATTTGTGAAATTAATATGCTTGTGCAACTGAATAACGCTGAACAGTGTTCTGTGATGCTGCCATTGCATTAAATGTCAAAAGGATTTGTGCACTGTATTTTTCTTCTTAAGAATATTTGTTACTTTTTCCCCTCTTTCTGTGAAATGAATTTTCATAGATAAATGATATTGGCCTTTCTTAGTAGGATTTGTCATATAAGGCACTATACATGTAAATTTACCTTCTAATTCCAGTACAGGGACTATGCTAGTTGATGAGTATACGCTCTTTTTAAGCTAGTATTTAATATGACAATAGTTTTCTATAAAATCTCTTGTAGGAAAACATACCTCTTAAGTTTGAAGAAGCTATTTTTTCTTCTCTTCTGATAGGGGAAGGTAACTATAGGCCAGCTATGCAAGTTTTCCACTTAAAAGAGGGTTTGTGGGGTTTTCGTCTGTTTGTTTTTAATGGGGGAGAAAAAGGGAGCAGTAGTAATTTTTTGTCCTTTAAAAGTCAGAAACTGTATTAAAGGAGTGTTTTGAAATCTGGCTATTAATTTTTTCCTTCTATTTTTGTTTAAACCAGAATGAGTTTACAGTGTTACCAAACAATATTAATACACTTCTTTTTCAGCTGCTAGTGATAAAAGTGGTGAGAGCCAGAAGCCAAGCAGCGATGAGAAAAATTGCCCTCCAGAACTGGATGGGGTTGACATCGAGCTGTTTGCAGGCACTGAGCTTGAAGAGGATGATTATTTAGATGTCGTTCCACCCTCCCCTGAAGAAGAGCTGCCTTCCTTCTCGCCTTCCGTAAAAAGTATTAGGTAAAACAAAGTTCATTGATAAAACTGTCTGTCTTTAGGATGATTTTTAAAAGTGCCAAAAAAGACAAGAAACTAGCGCTTGTTTAAAAGTTACAGCTTGAGTTGATTGTGTCTGTTTGTTGCTTGGCGTGAGGTGAGTAATTGACAGCTGCTATTAATATTTTATGAAACACTTTTCATTTTATGGCCAATGTTGGCTTTTGCTTCAGAAAAAGCAGAGTTACTTTTCCATTCGTAGTGGGAGGAAAAAAAATATTGAAGCCAGTCTTTACATGTTGGCACGTAGGATGAGTGACAAACTGCTCAGCTACTTGCATTTTAACTGGGTTTTCAGAAATTTGTTTATCTTTTACACCCATCTTAAATGCTGTTATTTTAAAAGATAAACTTCTCTTATGGAAATGCATTGATTTGCAGATATCTGTATTTTAAGGACTTTTTCTTTTAATATTAGTAATATTTTCAAAGAATCTCCAACTGGTGGAAGAGCCACGGCTAGCAGCGTTGAGTCCAAGCCTGGGAAGGTTGCCACAATGCAGCCTGTTGCTGAAAGTCATCCTAGTGCGGAGGATGCAGGTACACAAAACATTTTGAAGTTTTTTGCCTTAGATTTTGGGGATGGTTTGCAACTTCTTGTTCTCCTGCATATCCCATGTAATCTGAGAGCATTAACGAACAGTGACCGATGGGGACAACGAAGCAGGGGACTGAGTCTCATACAGGGTTTTCAGATGTGTAGACTCAGGCGTGTTGTCTGATCCTGATTCTGGGTTTCTCAGTACCAGTGTGGGATTCTGCACAGACCTCCTTTTCAGAAGTTAAAAGCACAGATCGACCAAATCAGTCCCGAACTCAGCTGCGGCACAAAGACACGTGACTGTAAGCTGGAGCTGTGTCAGTGCTTCCATTTGATTCCCACAGATGCTGGCTGAGCTGGCACAGATGCTATTACTGAGCTAAAATGTTTCTGAGTTTCACTTGCAGAATGAAAAGTTACTAAGTATAGGTGTGGCACAACCTGGTTTTAAGGCTGCAGATCTTTCCTCTCGAGATAGATAAAAATGTAGCTTATGGTACTGTTCTACAGTGTCATTTAAAATTTTGTGTTTATAAATGCCCAGAGCCATGTTTTTATGTTTATGTTTTAATGATGCTGTTCTGGAAATCACTTTAGTCAAGCTCCATCTTGTCATACTTTAGTGTATCTATGACAAACTTCTGGCCAACTTGTTGCAAGAGGTGCCCTTCTGACCCTCAGGTAATTCAGAGTTAGCCAAGTGTAGCAGAGGCCAGAATTTAGTCTGAGGGATCACACCCCCGGTAGCAGCGGTTTGAGGTCCGGTGCAGTTCATTGGCAAAATCCAGATGGTTTGCAGTGGTACTGAATTTGGAAGGGAAGGTCGTGAGGTGACAAATGCTGACTTTTCACGTGTGGGACATTTTCTACGGTACTTTCTAGACTGGAATTGCAATGTAATATTTTGATAAAATGTGTTTTAGTGTGTCTGGGGAGGGGTAATTCGAAATAAGCAAAACGTAAACTAGTGTTTTTTGGAATTAAGTTTTAAAGAACTGTGATGAGGTTTGGAAAATATATAGAGATGGATAATTAAAAGGCAAGGGCAAAAATATGTAGACTAGCTGAGTTCGTGCACACAGAAACAGTTTCTTTATGTGAATGGGCTTTTTAAAAACATATTGAAAGTAAATTATTTAGACTTATTTATTGCAATTTACTGTCCTTTGGGAGACTGGTATCATCTTGTTATATATTCTAATAAAAATCAGTATTACTATATGCTAAAATACACTCCATCTAACAGATAAGGGCTTGCATTTGGAACAGCAACTCTATGGCGTCATGGATGGTATCTGTAAGCTGGTAGATGCCATTCCGCTTCATGAGCTTACGTCTTTGTCATGCGCAAAAGAACTTCTCCAGCAGAGAGATCTCAGGTACGCTTTAATAAGCAGCCTTCCACGTTTCCATGCTCTGTGTGAAGCGGTGTCATGCCTGCAGGTGTCTCCATCACACTGAAAAGATGATATGGAAGGATTTTTTAAAAGCTTAAAACTACTGACCGAATGAAGAAAAAAAAATCCAAAAAACTGCTGAAAGTATTAACAATCCCAGTGTTCTGCCAGAGGAAGGAATCCAGTTCCACATTCAGTCTGAGGCATAGGTAGTCCTGTATCTTTTCTCTGGAAGGTGACCGGCACCAGATGCTTCCAAAGAAGCAGGGTGATGTGATATAGCCTGCTAGGTGTCATCCTGATTTCTTGTAACCGGAGGCATTAATTTAATATTCTCTCTATGAGACTTGCTATCACTGACTAGGGTGATTATGACTTCTCCTAATATCCATGTACTTGTCATCTTTCAATCTGATTATTGCTACTGCAATCTGCTTCTTTAACTTCTGCATAATCTGATGACACAATATGTAGACAAAATACTGAGATTTAGGATTTTGTTTTGTTTTTTTAGTGGAATGGGACTATGTGCTTTTTCTGAATGTTCTCAGTAAAACTAATTTATGCTATTTCCTCTTATTACTGTAGTCAGACATAGTCTTTAGAAAGTACATAAAAACATAATTTGGTTTAAGCATATTTTTACTTTTTTAACTTCAGGTTTGTGCCTCTAAGGATTTTTTTTTTTTTTTTTTTAATGCTCTACCTTGCCTGGATCAGTTCCTTGCTATTAGGAATTCTTTTATGTCTGCAGAGAAGATGATGTAATTATTTTGTTCAACTGAGTTCTGGTATTATTCTCTCTTCCCTAGATTTGTTTGAAATATTTTTAAAATATAGTGACACAGAATACAATGTAACCACCATATGTTTTCAATAGGAGAGAGACAAAACTGTTTAATATATGTTGTAGAATTTGATAAATCATTGCTTGTGACTAAATATTTTTTTTTTCCTTCTTCCTTCCCTTGCCATCTCTCCCAGGAGAAAATTGCTAGCTAATTCTCTCACTTTGAACAAAAGTAGCATAAACAACACTTTTCCTAGAAACTGGAAGGCATGTGTGGAAAGGGGCCCTCTTGCATGTCCTGGTGCTGCTCTGTGTTCTGGCCCGAACTGGAGCTTCAGTTCTGATAGAAACTCACCAAAATCCACAAACCTCCCATCTATGCTTTCTGGGACTGTTAATTCAAGCAATTTTTCTACCAAAAAAAATCAAACCTTGGATACCTCTTACGCTTCAAAGCAAAGTATTGAGGAGATCACCTGCCCAGAAACTACAGCACTGTCTTCTTCCAAGGTAAATGGCAAAGATGGAGCCTCCCTCAGCCTCTGTTCTGAGATGTCCTTCGACAGCAGCTGGTGTGAAAAAACAGGGGTGAGAAACGGTGGAAACCATCATCTGCTGGAGAGGCCTCTTTCAAGCACAGCTCTGAAAGGTCAGAGCAAAGCCTGCAGAAGACAGTTTAAGTATAAACGATACAGACTTTGACCTTGATCACTTTGATATTGATGATTTTGATGAGGGCTGGGAGAATTCGGTGAATGTTTTGGCACCTGAAACGCCATCTACGCCGTTGTATCAGCCCGTCAGGGAGGGGCCACCTGCCAAATCGCTGTTGTCAAAGATAATGTCCAGAGCCAAAGGATCTGCTGTTGTATCAAATCCTGCTGCTCCAAAATCAAGCTTCTTGACGGCAACAAAGAACCATTCAGGTAAATTATGCTCATTAGGATTAGTCTTTCCTTTTTTTAAATTTTTATTTACTTATTTTTAAACCTAAGGCCAAGTAACTTACTGTAGATTACATGCCTTTTGTTTCTGTGCAAATTACTTTTGGTTTCTCTTTGCAAAGTTATTTTTCGGTTTTTTTCCTCCAAGTGATGCCAAACTTCTTGAATATTGATTTGCCATGCAGGTTGCAGGCTTCTGGGAAGATGAAGCTGCTAAAATTGGAAACGAACGTTTCTGTGTTTTAATTAAATAATGATTCTGCAGTTGTTAATTCAAAGCTGTACAACAGTTTTAGCTGTTTATGCAAAATGTTCAAAAATGGGCACTTGTTGAAGCAAACCTAATCCCCCTGGGGCACAGGGGTGGGTTAGTATTGTTTGTGGTTATTGTAGGAACGGGTTGGTAAAGGGGGAGGTGAAAATGTTAACCCATTTCATCAGCTTCTCTGTCGCTGATTCAGCTAGGACCTACTGTTAGTTACCCATGAACGGGGAGCCTATTCACAGTTTGTGACAGAGATGAAATTTGTTAGTGTTAGAGTAGGCATTTTATACAGTCATAGGTAAGAAGCTTGTTTCCGGAGATTTGCATGTAATCAGAATTCACACTTTAGCTGGTCTTAAATTCTAGATGAATGCAATTTTTTTTAGTAAGTCATGATTTGAGTTTAAAAGGTTTAAAGGGTTGAAGTGGTGGCTAAGCCATCCATTATACTGAAGCAGTTTTATGTTGCAAGAGGGATAGTGCAACTTGATCTTGTAACTTATTGTAAGTACATTTTCTTTGTTTACTAGATCCGCCGGTTAATAACCCTGCACTAGAACGTTTCAGGGGTATGAAATTTTCCCATTCTGAAGAAATGATGAATATATTTCACAAAAAGTTTGGTTTGCACTATTTTCGGACAAATCAGCTGGAGGCCATCAATGCTGCTCTTCTGGGTGAAGATTGTTTCATCTTAATGCCCACTGGTATGTATCTCCAAACGCCACGCAGCTGCAGGCTTTTGAGGTCTGGCACACAGTTGAGCAATAAAGACCTGAAGCTCCTTTTGCAAGGCCTGTGACAAACTCTTCTTCTCTGTGCCTTTGTGGAGGTGGCAATAAATTGTGCTGCTTGAATTCTGTGGCTGCAGGGTTTCTGGAATTTTGTATGCACTTTGGTATTTTGAATGAGGTGGTTGAATTTCTGCCTTCCATAATCTTTCACGTGATAACACTTCCTTATCCTACAGGTATCATATTAAAGGCAGTCACTGGTAAAAGTTAATTGTTTCTGAAAGTGCTGTAAAATGGGAAGCAAGAAATAGGTCTCCCCTCTTCCGCTCCTCCTCCACACTGTCCCCCTTTCCTCTTGGTATCTAATATTTGTTGTGTTCTGTTTAATCCTTACAGGTGGTGGTAAAAGCTTGTGCTACCAGTTACCAGCGTGTGTCTCTGCTGGAGTCACTATTGTTATCTCTCCACTGAGGTCGCTGATAATAGATCAAGTTCAGAAACTGAAGACTTTAGATGTAAGTTCAAACAGCTCACTTTATTCAATTTAACTGCAGATAAGTGAATTAGAAATCTGACATTTTACAGTAAATCTTATGTCTCTCAAATACAAACTGTAAAAGGCACACAAAGTTGTCTAGGACGAACTAAATTAGATGAACTAGAATATGTTGGCAGTCTAACTGCTAAATTTATTGATGCTTGTGCGTATTTGTTATTGGAGCTTAGTTTTCAAGTACAGATGCCTGCTTCTTAGATTCTGAGAGTTGTATTTAGACACCTAAATAGGAGCAGCCTGGCTTTGTAGCAGAAATAAGCACTCACAATTCCTGAGCTAGGAAGGTTCTGGTGATGCTAAGCACTTCTGGAGAAGTAATACACAGAGAAAAGAAATGCAAGTGCAGAAGATGTGTGTTCCTAAAGCTGATGACTTATGAACTGCTTTTGCCTCAGTGAAGTGTCTTTTTCATCCTTAGTGTATTATTGAGATTGAGAGATCAGGGAAACAAAGGTGGATGACGCATTTTAGGGAAAAATACAGAGATGTTTTGGGGTATGAGACAAAAGTGATTATGATGCAGGGTTTTGAAGCTCAGACAAATCCTTCTCTCATCAAGTACAGTTTTTGATAGTCTGACTGGTGAACGGAGTTCAATCCAGTTGGCGGCCGGTCACGAGCGGTGTTCCCCAGCGCTCAGTTTTGGGGCCGGTCTTGTTCAATATCTTTATCAATGATCTGGATGAGGGGATCGAGTGTACCCTCAGTAAGTTTGCAGATGACACCAAGTTGGGCGGGAGTGTTGATCTGCTCGAGGGTAGGAAGGCTCTGCAGAGGGACCTGGACAGGCTGGATCGATGGGCCGAGGCCAACTGTATGAGATTCAACAAGGCCAAGTGCCGGGTCCTGCACTTCGGCCACAACAACCCCATGCAGCGCTACAGGCTTGGGGAAGAGTGGCTGGAAAGCTGCCTGGCGGAAAAGGACCTGGGGGTGCTGGTCGACAGCCGGCTGAACATGAGCCGGCAGTGGGCCCAGGTGGCCAAGAAGGCCAATGGCATCCTGGCCTGTATCAGAACTAGTGTGGCCAGCAGGAGTAGGGAAGTGATCGTGCCTCTGTACTCGGCACTGGTGAGGCCGCACCTTGAGTACTGTGTTCAGTTTTGGGCCCCTCGCTACAAGAAGGACGTCGAGGTGCTGGAGCGTGTCCAGAGAAGGGCAACAAAGCTGGTGAAGGGTCTGGAGAACAAGTCTCATGAGGAGCGGCTGAGGGAACTGGGGTTGTTTAGCCTGGAGAAAAGGAGGCTGAGGGGAGACCTCATCACTCTCTACAACTACCTGAAAGGAGGTTGTAGCGAGGTGGGTGTTGGTCTCTTCTCCCAAGTAACCAGCGATAGGACGAGAGGAAATGGCCTCAAGTTGCACCAAGGGAGGTTTAGATTGGACATGAGGAAAAATTTCTTTACTGAAAGAGTGGTTAAACATTGGAACAGGCTGCCCAGGGGAGCGGTTGAGGCACCCTCCCTGGAAGTATTTAAAAGACGTGTAGATGCGGCACTGAGGGACATGGTTTAGTGGGCATGGTGGTGTTGGGTTGACGGTTGGACTCGACGATCTTAGAGGTCTTTTCCAACCTTAATGATTCTATGACTAGACAGAGCCCTCGAATGGTTGTCCGCCATTTAGTGACTATTGCACAACACTACACTTTGGCCATGCTTTTCGCTCTTTCTTGCGTTGAGAGGTGCCATGGCTGTAAAAACCAGATAAACTGGCTCTGTGACTCCAGGGGATTTGTAGCTGCAGAAGGAATTTCCTCTGCAGAGCTGCAGCTGCCTCTTGCGAGCGGAAGAGGAAACAAGCAGGCAGAATTGGCTCTGTTGGTGTGACCTATTCTTACATCACTTGTGTCCTCAGGATCTAATTCCTTTGTTACTATTTAGCATGAATAGTAAGTTATACTTTCAAATTTAATATTAAATTGCTGCTCCAAGCTGTATTCAGTCTCTTCTGATGCAATGCTGTTCTGTGTTTGTGGGCACTGTTATTGAGGGTGTTATTATGTTTTTGTGCTTCTTGGAAACTTTGTTTCTTAAGATGTCTGTTTTCTGAATTCAATCTCAAACTTACAGCATATCGAGCAATAAACTAACATCACATCTGTTTTCTTTACTGGAAAGAGAGCTCAAAGAAAGCAGACAAATCCCCTAAGTCAGCTATTGGTCTGTTGGTAGAACTGGGAGCAGAAGAATAGAATTTGGCTTATAGTCTTTTGGTTTTATCGTTAGAAAAATTCTGCAATGTCTACAGTACGATGGGGGTTCAAATGTTATCTATAATTACACAAGCATTGAAAATGTTATATTCGTTGAGGATAGTAAATGCATATACTTTATCTGGTTTATAACTAGATGTAGGACTCTATTTGGAGAAGCTTCTGTTTTGTGCATATTAAAACTTAATATGTTTTCTTAAATATAGATTGCTGCAACATATCTGACTGGTGACAGAACAGATGTTGATGCGTCAAAAATATATATGCAATTGTCAAAAAAAGATCCTGTAATAAAGCTTCTGTATGTTACCCCTGAGAAGGTTTGTATTTAATTTGAATTGTAAAATCATGGAGGCAACAAGAGGTGGACTACTATGAAGTATTAAAGGGGAAACACTGAATTTAGAGTAGGCTTCTGGGGAAAAAAAAAATATATTTTTTAGATAATTCAGTAAGACTCTGTACAGATGTAACTAATTTCAATCAGTAATTAACCAAGAATGAAACTGAGTATGTCTGTACAATTTAAGTTCTTAAAACAAAACCCCCGTGCCCATCCATTTCAATATATCTTACTGCATATTAGTGGCTAATTGCTGTCAAGTAGATATTAAAATCTAGACTGCTATGAATAGGATAATACAGGGAAAAAATATGTAACTGTCAAGGTAATAGGTGATTGTCAAAAGATTGCCTTGTACTTAATTATATGCTGCCTTCAAAAATTATATTATTCCACAAGAGCTTTGTAAGAGGGGACTGTTTAGTGTGCTGATTATGTTTCTTTCTTCAGCATTGTCTTTCCCTGTCTTTCATGACATAAGTCATTTAAATTTACTCAGATTGTAGGACCTCTGGATAGATGATCCTAGAACTTTGTGGTAATTCCACACCAGCTGCTTTGTTGCCAATTAAAATGAAGCTGATCGCCATCTTCTTTATGCCTTCAAGCTTTACCTGTGCAGTCAAGATTAACTTTGCTGTACAGAACAATTGTTACTGTATTCTTAGTTAGGTAGGGTGACACTTTGCTCTGTTAGTTTGCTTTCTAATGCCACTGGTGGATGTGTACCTAGGTTTGTGCAAGCAGCCGACTGATGTCAGCCCTGGAAAATCTCTACGACAGGAAACTCCTAGCGCGTTTTGTCATTGATGAGGCCCACTGTGTCAGCCAGGTAAAAACCTTGATTTGTTTTTCAAAATGGCAAAAGACTTAGTTGGAGCATCTTACTCAGTTTCACTTAAATTTTGTTTTTAAACTAGTGGGGTCATGATTTTCGAAAAGACTACAAACGACTGAATATGCTCCGCAAGAAGTTTCACTCTGTTCCTATGATGGCTCTTACTGCCACTGCTAACCCCAGAGTACAGAAGGACATTCAGAATCAGCTTGAGATGCTAAAACCACAAGTGTAAGTTACTCAGCGGTTTCCTGAAACAATTTGTTTGTGCCGCAGAAATTTTGGAAAATTTAGTTAAAGTAAGAAAAGCATTACAGGTTCATCTGAAATACTCATGTAGTTGTATCTGATTAAATGAGAATGTATACGTGGAATTTAATGTGAGTTATGTGCAAAATATTAAAGTAAGAAGAAAAAAAACTTACCAAACTCTTCCTTGCATGATTAAGGAAGCTGTTTAATAGAAAATAACATCATGAAATTTTCTATGTCACTGACAAAATGTGCAAGTTGTATTTTAGGGTGCTTTTCATGAGAATGCTGGGAAACTGCAAAAGCATTGGTAGTAACATAGATAATGAGGTACCATTGGGCCTGGATTGTATTGTAGTGTTTTCATTGTACACGATAGAAAAATAAAGCATTCTGTTTTGTTGAATTTCTTATTTTAGAAATGTATTTTAGGGTAGAAGGAGGGAGGTGACACTATATTTTGCAAATTTGATCAGTCGAATGTGTATGCAAATATTCAAAAGGAAAATGAAGGCGAGGCAAATCACTGTGTGCGTGTTTGGTTTATGGGCATTTCTTCCTTCTACGTAGTGCCATGTAGCTTTGTTTTTTTCACAGACACAGGAAAAATGCAGGAATTTTTAGGCCTAAAGTATGGGTGACATGAATCTCCGTGGGCATAGTGGAACAATTATTCTTTTGCAGATAATGCAGAACGAGCAGTAGTTAGTTGAATTTGGGACATTCCAGTCAATACCTAGCTTGCTGAAAGGATTACTGCACCCATAAAGCTGACGAGCATCCATGAACTGTCATGTTTTAGGTTTACAATGAGCTTCAACAGGCATAACCTGAAATATGATGTATTGCCCAAGAAGCCAAAGAAGGTGGCAATGGATTGCTTGGAATGGATTAAAAAATATCATCCACGTGAGTACTGAGCAGCATAGTGTGCTTGTATGCATTTTTATGAACTACTTTTTAAGGCAGGAAGAGCTTTTATAATGCTGTAAAAACCCCAAACTTATGCCTGTCTGTAAGCGACTAATATATTTACAAAAAAAAAAAAAAACCAAGTTGGAGGCAAAATGATATTATTGATAATGAGAATCAGATTTATGGGCATCCTAAAGTTAAGACTTCAAGTTAGGATGGAAAACTAAATTATGGTATTGCTCTTGAGTAATCTTTCTGGAGGTTGCCAGACCTTTTAGCGTTGTGTCTTCAGAGTATAAAGGTCTCTAACATCCATACTGGTTTAATTGTTTAATTCTGTTGGTCTGCTTATCTGTGGTTCCCCTTGAAGATATCTTCAGGGTTTCCTATCTTTCTAGGCTCTCTTTTGGAGTCCTGCAGCTCCTGCTTCTGGAAGCTGATTACAACAAGCTCCCTTCATAGCTTCTCTAGTGCTGTAACCTAGTATATCATTGACTAAACTGCTCTAGCTCTTGATTTATGTAGTTCTTTATTCATGTACTGAGTGGGAAAACTTTTCTTGATTCCACCTTGCCAAAAACCAGGAAATTGGGTGAGGAGAAACTAACAAAACCATCTGATGTTAATAAAGTTACTTTTCTTTATCATTAAGCAGTTATTGCGTTACACTTACCAGCCTCTCACTATTGGAATAAATGTATTTGCTTGACAGGTATGACTGTTAAGCAAGTGAAAGGGAATAAAGCTGTATTGTGGCACAAATCTTTTTTTATATATTTGCAGATGACTCTGGAATAATTTATTGCCTTTCACGTCACGAATGTGACACAACAGCGGCTATTCTGCAGAAGGAAGGTCTTGCTGCACTTGCCTATCATGCTGGCCTCACTGACTCCAACAGAGACCTTGTACAAAAGAAGTGGATTAATCAGGAAGGATGCCAGGTAAAGAAAAGCAACTGGGGGGAAAAAGTGAATAGAACTTAGAGCACTTTTATCCCTCTTGGCCTAGTAAATGAAAGCAAAGTTGTGTAATGTTATTGCCAAATCGGATGCAGTATTAAATAACTGATCCGAACAGATCTGCCAAAACACATTAGCCATCTTTTTATTGGGGGTTTTACAAATCACAGACTGCAGCACTGCACCAAGGTATGGTACTCCAGGAGGAAGGAACGGAGCAGTACAAGGCTTCTGAAACAGCCCTAGGCACGCTGCTGAATTGTATGTTGAGACTCAAATTTGGAGTTTTCCCTTTGTCTGGAATAGCTCTTCTGAAAGGAGAGGTGTTTCTGCTATTTTGTACTCGTCTTGCAGGGTTACAATTGAAATTCTAGGTTCTGCAGTTTCGTAATCTTGATCGCCTGTCTATTTTCAGTGCAGAGTGCTGCATGAATAACTTTCATAACTCTATGTAACAAATTATTATTTCCTTCTTAGGTTATATGTGCAACAATTGCCTTTGGAATGGGAATTGATAAACCTGACGTACGCTATGTTATCCATGCTTCTCTTCCTAAATCTATAGAAGGTTACTACCAAGAATCTGGCAGAGCTGGACGAGATGGTGAAATGTCTCACTGTCTGCTCTTCTACAGCTACAGTGATGTAACCAGACTTAGAAGGCTAATACTAAGTGAGTTCTCATGTTTGTAACTTAATGGAGACAATATTAAAGTCACTTAAGTCGCTGGTCTCTGTTTCATTTAGACTGTGTTATTTTCTCATTTAGAAGTGGCATAAATAGTATGGTATTGCAAAGATGGGAGGACTGTGCATCTTTACCTGAATGGTTTTCTGTAATGAAAGATTTTTGTCACTTGTACTTAATTTTAGTCAAAAACATTTTGCTTCATACATATCCATCTCTTGATTCTTGTCATTCTGGTCTTATTTCCCTTCTCCATTCTTTAAAACTTTAGAGGTAAAATCTGTCCTATGTTAGTTCTGTACTAACCTACTCATCTTTTTTTAAGCAAAAAAGAATATTGTGTTTTGTCTCTCTGATAATATATAAAAATGCAGAGGTGCAGATTTAACAAACACAACTGAATTTATTGCATTTCAGTGGAGAAAGATGGAAACAGTCACACAAGACAGACCCACTTTAACAACCTCTACAGCATGGTTCACTACTGTGAGAATGTAGTTGATTGCCGGAGAATTCAGCTTTTGGCCTACTTCGGGGAAACTAACTTTAATCCCACCTTCTGTAAAGATCACCCAGAAGTAATTTGCGATAACTGCAGTAGAAAGACGGTAAAAATCATAGCTCTTATTTATAGTGATGTTAAACTGATTTTGCATTTAGCTGCATTAAAAAATGGTTACATGACATTTGGGAAGGCAAATAGAGAAAATGAATAAGATGCCTTGTATTTTTGTGATGCTAGGTGCTTTGAATTATTTTCAGGGTTTAACCTAGCGTAGAATTACACAGACTATCCATGGACTTGTGATGCTCCTATTTCTGTCAGGGGAGGACTGGTGAGGTCCTTAGTGTCCATTTTCTTGGCTACAGTGCTTACAGGAGGCAGGAGCTAATATAAGATCCACTGGAATGGCTATGGGGAAATCCCTTCAACTGCCTATTCTGATGTTTTGAAGGCAGCTTTGTGCTGCCAGAGTAGCACAAGTGCCACATTAGGAGGTGTACGCTGCTTGAGGTGGCCCAAAGATTAGGGTTTGTGCGTCAAGGATCGAAGCAAACTCGTTAGTGGCGTGAACAGGAGTAGAAGAGAAGATAGCTGTTGAAGCAGACAGGGAAGACTTACTGATGTCTATGAACCAGATCAGTTTTATACCTGATGACGTTGCTTCTTAGTCCTGTGTTTGAAGCATTACTTTACATAGCTGTGATTGTAACAAAATTTCACTAGAATAATGCATATTCGGTCCAGTCTTCTCATTTTAATGCATATTGGAAGTGTAAGTTCTAGTGCGTGGCAGCAGAATAATTATGGGAATGCTTTCCAAACGATTTACCTTGATTGCCAGTATTCACGCAGCAGTCTTGCAGCTTACTCTATAGAATTAACACAATAGAGATTATATACAATCAGTTGGTATGTATTATTGCATTTTCCAGAGTATTATCAAATCCAGAATTCCTGTGACTATATTGTATCACTGTAGGTGTACTAACTAGAAGATCACTATTTCTCTGTTTGGAACAAAATGAATTCATTTTGTTGAAGCTCAATAATGAAAAACAAGGTTGTCAGTAACAACTTGCATTAGGACAGAACCACATAACATTGTTTCCTAATCAAGTCTATTTTAACAGGATTACAAATCAAGAAATGTAACAGATGAAGTGAAGAGCATTATAAGATTTGTACGAGAGCATTGTGGACAAATGGGACGAATAAATGCAAAGAGAAATACAGGTTCTGGAAGATACACATTGAATATGATGGTAGACATTTTCTTAGGTAAGTTTCTTTCAGAAACAACACCTAAATAGACTTGGTGCATAAATTCCTGACTAAGTATCAGGAGGTCTGCGCAATACCAGCAATGGTTTAAAAGAAGATATATTTTGCAAAATTATTCTTCCCAGGAATCTCTTGGTGGTAAGTGATCCAAAATAAACGAGACTAAAGCTTTAATCCGTTTCAGGTTGCTATAGTGATAATACTAGTTTTATGGTGGTGTTTGGAGTTTCTGGTGCTTAAATGTGTTTTTATGTGCATAGACTATGGAATACCCTTGGGAATCTTCCACAGGTCTGTAAATACATATGTACGTAGGCTTTCTAATCGCCAACTAATTCTGTGATTTCTGTTGCACAGGTACAAAGAGTGCGAAGATTCAGTCTGGAATATTTGGGAAGGGAGCTGCCTACTCAAGGCACAATGTTGAAAGACTGTTTAGAAAACTGGTCTTGGACAAGATTCTGGATGAAGACTTGTATATCACAGCTAATGACCAAGCGGTAGCATATGTAATTCTAGGAGAGAAAGCTCAGGCTGTGCTAGATGGATCACTACAGGTGTGCAACATTTTTTTTTTCTCTAATGTATTGTTATAAGGGACGTGCTACAGTTTTTTATGTAGCATATACCCTAGGGTAGTTTAAACATAGTTTGCCTACCAGCTGAAGTACAGGAACTAATCTTTAGCAGATGCAGGGAACAGCATCCAACAAGCATGATTTCTAGTCCACTATTCTAATAATAATGTTGTGAGGCAAAAGGTGAGTTTGAGAGGATTGGAGAGGATTAAATCTTCCTCTTCTCCCCCCATCCATCTGATTCCAGCTTGACAAGAAAGGAAAGTTATGACCAACACAGAAAAAGCTGGCTAAGAAGGAACAGTGCTACCTTCTTCTGCATTTTCTGCTCTATTTTTTTCCAGTCATTGGTGAGCTCTGATGGAAAATGCACTTCAAGGTCATGGAACCAGTCCCAGAATTGCTTGAGGCAATGTCTCCTCTGCATTAGTGCTGTGTTTGGAGAAGAGAAGAGCCCTCAGCATTAGACCTAGTCACCTCTGTTTAAAGCTGGCTGTAAATTGGGTTCTCGGGGATTTTTTCCCTGTGTTGTGTATACTCTGCTAGTCCTTTGTAGAAGAAACTTAGGGGCAGTTGAGTAGCCTGTAAAAAAAAAAAAAAAAAAAAAAAAAAAAAAAAAAAAAAAAAAAAAATCATTTAGAAAGTGTATACTGGGTAAACAGCTTTTTTTGTCCATCAAAGTGTACTTTCGGTTTCCTTCACTGTTTTCCTGTGTTATCAATCTATCTTCTAATGATGGTTCTGCAGTAACTCCCCTGACAGAAGTTATTGATTGGCTTATTTAACAGGTGGAGTTTCATGAAACAGAAAGTGCCAGTGCCATCAGAAAGCAAAGGGCTTCCGTGGCAAAAATGTCACAGCGGGAAGAGATGGTTAAAAAGTGCCTTGGGGAACTTACAGACACATGCAAAACACTTGGGAAAGTCTTTGATGTGCATTACTTCAATATTTTCAGTACTTCAACTCTAAAGAAAATAGCAGGTAATGTCAGTTTTTCGTTACTCGGAACCTCTGTCAGCAGTAGACTGCACGTGCAATTGTAGCCTTTTCTGACAGAAAATCTACAGTTTCTAACATTTAGCGAGAACAGGTTTAAGTATACATAACTGAGCAAGTCCTGTGGAAGTAGCTGACACAGCATAGATTCCTTGGAGCTGCAGTTTATGATGTGGCGGTCCTGCTGGATAAGTACAAGAGCCACCCAAGTAATCGTACTGCAAAACAAACTTTGAAGCATTTTCAGAGAAAACTTTTGGACTGTTTTTTGTGCTAACCAACTAGAACAAAATCTGCTAGAATAAAAGCCTGCTTCCTTAAGGACTTAATGCATAGGGTGGCACTAAAAGGAATTAATTTCCTCCAGAATACTCTACCATGATCTCTCTTCAAAAAAAGTTAGTTTGTTTGACATATCTAATTGGTACTTTGTTACATTGCAGAAACCTTGTCATCTGATGTGGAGGTTTTACTGCAGATTGATGGTGTCACGGAAGACAAACTGGAAAAATATGGTGCAGAAATAATTAAAGTGATGGATAAGTACTCTGAATGGACCACACCAGGTTTAGTATACTTTGTACCTAAATGTGTACTTTCCTGCTTAGTACCCTTCTCTCCTCCTCTATCAGAAGTTTCACGCAAAAGTTACCTTGTTTTAAATACAAATAACTAATTCTTGCAGTTTAATAATTACAAAAAGGGAGCAATTGCGCACTTTCAGAACATACAAAGGTCTTGGCTATCTTCTCACTAGTTAAATTCAGCGTATCTCTGAAAGACTAAAAAAGGAAAACGGGAACTAAGCAGACTGCTCTGCTCCTAACCTGTTAGTTATTGGGATTTATGTAATATGCTTAGTTATAATGAGAATTCTGACCTTAAGGTTAAAGGTCTTGCAGCTCCTGCATATTTTTACACCTGCATGTACTATGTATGGGGTAATGTTGTAGCCTGGCAGATAATCAATAACTACTACCTTTTATTTTTCATAGTAATTGAGGTCAGCAAGTTCAGGTCTTCACTGACTAGCCCTTGCTCAAAGGTGAAGAACTTTCAAAACTAGGTGTAAAAAAAGCTATCAGGTCAGAATGGTAGTATTTTATAATGCCTTGCACAGCTCTAACCTTATATACAAAGTTCAGCTCAGTGAAGAATTGAGCCCTGAGGCTAGTAAGTCTGGTAATTTCACGTGAGCGTAGCATGTAGCCTATGCTGTAATTAGAATATTTAATACAGCTTGGCTACCAGATTTGACATTGGGGCCTGCAATTTTAAAGTGATTCATGCTTACTTTAAAGAAGGTTGTGCTTTCATACACTGCAATGCAAATAAATGCATGGCTACAAACCTGATTTTGAAGTATCACATCCCTCTTGATCATGACTGAGAAGGAGCTCTCGGCTCTCTGAGCCTTTCAGTGTCTCCTGATGCTGCTTTTAAAAGCAAGTGCCATATTTGATTGTAGTATTTATGGTATATTCCATAATCCTTTCCAGCTGACATAGGGAAGAGACTGTGAAGGCAGAAAGCCCAGTGTTACCAAAGTAGTTTAGATGAGAAGCCAAGCTAGAGAAGATAGGACTGGCTAGTATTCTTTTATGTCATGAGATAAAGCAAGGACAGAAGGCAGTTTTGGTTTACACCAACCTATGAAACACCTTTAGCTGAGCCTGGAGCATCACCAGCATGAAGGCAGTGCAAAGGAGGTTTTGAAAAGCAAGGACAGAAGTTCTGGTACAGTCATAGAATCATTAAGGTTGGAAAAGACCTCTAAGATCATCGAGTCCAACTGTCGACCCAACACCACCATGTCCACTAAACCATGTCCCTAAGCGCCTCATCTACACGTCTTTTAAATACTGCCAGGGATGGTGACTCAACCACTTCCCTGGGCAGCCTGTTCCAATGTTTAACCACTCTTTCAGTAAAAGTGTGTCAGTGTGTTCTGGCTAACAGTTCTGACTGGCCCAGGCAATGTCTTGATTTCGTTAGTTTTAACTCACTGTCTATCTGTAGAAGATGCTGCCTGCCAAAGTGTGGACACAGCTACGGGAAGCACTGGCACACCTGTGAGTGATGAAGAAACAGAAGATGTAGTTACAACCTCAAGCTATTTTTGCAATAATGCAAACCAAAGAAAGAAAAGGAAAAGGCCGCCAAACTTCAGAGAATCAAAGAGGAAAAAGACAAGTAATGGTGGCAGCCAGCAGTTTCATCCCAAAGGGTATGTTGCTTGTGGTCATTAGTAACTTTTCTTTGTCCAGAATAGCATGATGATGATCCCAGAACTGCACTGTTATCCTACTGCATTTTCTTGAGTACGTATGGGCTTTAAGACTGGCATTAAAATTATCCAGGTACCTGGTAACAACTGCTCTACTTCGGTTTTCTAGCATTTTCTGTTTAAAAAAACTCCTGGTGAGGAAGGATGTTTAACAGTTGTCCTTTGTTTCTCACTCTTGACTGCCACAAACTAAGTAGCGACGCTAAATTTCAGTGTGCTGCCAAAACCATTATTAGCAGGCTGACTGGATTCTGTGCTTGGAAACATAAAGATGGCTTGAAACTTTGAAGATTTGATGGAATATTTGAACTTCAGTTCCCAGTCCCTTGTTAATTCAGAACTTCTCCCTTTGATGGTACCATACAAGGCAATGCCTGCATCAAGACCATAGCATTTGAATCTAGGAGTCTGGTTGGTCTTGAGCTTCTAGGGCAAATCCACCACCAAACTATCACAGGGTGATGAAAGAGCCAGGCTGGACCTCATCCTTTGAGTCAATGACCTTATTTTAGCAGTCCACGTAGTTATTAGTCTGGTAACTCAAGTGGTTACAGTTTGTGCTGAAGGTCTGTGCTTCAAAACATGATGATTAATCAGTGCTGAAAGTGTATGAATGAAAATGGAGAAATGGTTGAAGAAATTCTGCCCTCCCCAAACCCTCTTTAAAAACAAGGGGGAATGACATTAGAAGACTTGAGCAATGAGCTATTTGTTTTTTATAGTTGTGCCTTTTCGATGTTTGCTGTGCTCATAGCTTGCCTTGCACAAAAAGGAAGTAAATTAAAGTTGCCAGTACTGTGGTATGGTCAGGTTAATTAATCAGCCTAGAAATTTTACCTCGCTTGGTATATGAGGGAGAACATGAGGTACAAAAGAGCAGTTATGCAAACAACCCACATCTTGCATTTCTGAAATAATTTCTTGAAGGAGGTTTTGTTCAGTCTATAAGTGTCAAAGAAATCGCATTATCTTTCAGCCGGGAGGAGTTCAGGCCATTCGGAAGAGAAGCTCTAAACGGTACTAACGTGCTCTCCAAAACATTCTGTAAAATCCCCACCTGAAGAGTCATACCTGAATTTTAACGACTGTTAGGTTTTACTGGTATATTAACTACCTACATTTTACCGCGTTAATGTTGCATTCATCATCAAAGAGAAAATATGGTCTATCATTAAAACTCATTGCTTTCTGCCATTGTCTATTCTTTCCAAGGTTGTTTTCTTCTCTGCCCTGTTTTTCCTCATTCTGGTCTTTGTCTTTTGTAGCAAATAGCAGTTCACAGCTCAGTAGGTTTTACTCCCACCCTTTTCACCTTCCCATCTACTAAAATATTAGTCATTAAATGCTGATGACCCTGAAGTGTCACTTAATACTCTAATTGGATTAATAGGAATCAGGTTGGTTCAGCATTTTCTGTCCCTGTTTCAGGCTGCTTCTTGCCCTTAGGCAAATGCCAGAGCAACTTGATTTACATTTCAAAGGTATATTTGCAGCCATGTGTATTAAACAAAAACAAAAACCCCAAACTTTTTAAAAATAAAAGCATAGTTTTCTAGAAGATCTAATGGTGGTGTATATTACATGAAGTACACCATGAAAATAAAGCAGATTTTGACACGTACCTTCTCTCTAAATTTTGCGGTGGTTACAGCAAGTACAGAAGGATCAAAAGGCCGTCTAGCTCAAAGCCTCCAGCTTCATCTGGCAACAGCTTGGCATCGTACAATGTTAGTGCCATGCAAGGAGCTGCTGGAAAGCTGGGGATTATGGCACCACCGAAACCCAAAACCAGACACTTCCTTCAACCTTCATATTCAATATTGTAACTAGGAAAATGTAAATACTGTATAATAGCAAGCCCTGAAGATGTAATTGTTGTTTATTAAATCTTTGTTTCATTTCTGAGACTTGTACATTTGTCAAGTACAAAAACCTCACATTAAATAAATGTTTTTAAATTCATAAGCTTATTTGAACCTTTCTACTATAAACAAGCAGAGTTCTGACTGGTTCTAGAAACCCTACTATTTCAGTGGAAATAATCACTGTAAGCCTGCTTTACAGCTACCTCAGGGATACGCTTGAGACCACAAATCAAAAGCTGTTACTGGAACTGCACATCACAAAGCTGTGGTTGCCTCTGTTCTTCTCCCTTGCTAGTTGCATGAGTACTTCAGAGCTTGATAGCTGAGCAGCCCTCCTGAAAATCTAAGTCCTGGGATGTTCACCTGAGATAGAAAATATAATTAACGTTTGTAAGTTTCAAATTTTATTCCCCAGATACTGGGGCTGGAGGGCCTCCTGAAAGTGCCAAGCTCTGCCCCCGTGTGCTTTGTTTAGTTGTTAATTTTTATTTTTTTTTAACTGTGATCTTGTCACAGCCATGGTGAAGGGCATTTGAGCTGCCCTCGGCTTCCACTTTCCTGCCTCACACAAGGTAAGCCTGCTTTGTTCAGCAGAGGGGTTGAGACGCACTTGTTTGTACCCGCGTCTTCACCGAAATGCCTGGCAGCGCCTGGCCAGGATGAACTGTTTGCTTGCGTGACTGGAGCAGAGGATTTTATCAGCTATTTCTGGGCAACGAGGCCGTGATGGCTGGTCTTGTGTATTTTATGACCTATTTTGCGAGCCTTCAGACTGTTTGAATTAACCTCACGGTTAAAAATGTCCACTTTTTCTCTCCTGCCCGTGCCAAGCTGCAGCACGTATTTGTAGAGCATAATTACATCATTCCTCTCTGCCGCCCATCGTCCGTCTGTCATGACTTTGATCCCCTGCACAGCAGTCCTGGGCCGCCCCCAAGCAAGTGCT